AGATTGTCTTCACTGTAAATATTTCTTTTAGGAATTCATTGAATGCTGCTACGGCTTCATCATAAGATTTGTAAGACTTGAAGATGCTTCCTTTGAAACCTATAATCATAGGAGCACACTCACACCAAGAGTTGTATAATCCTGGCTTTTTACCACGAATACAACATACACCTTCGATGCTGATATATTATCAGCTTGAGATCCATTTCTAAACTCATTAAAAGCTGTTATGGCTTCATCATACGTTTTGAAGGCCTTGAAGATGCTGCCCTTGACACCAATAACCATAGGAGCACACGAATGCCAAGAGTTGTGCAATCCAGGCCTCTTACCACGAAACACTACATAAACTTTCGAAGCATTATTCCTCTTCCCGTGGTCCATTCCTTAATCTAACCCTAAGAAAGATAAGAGAGAAGAAGGAGAAAACAAAGATAGAAAAATGGGGGGCTGGAAAAGCTTTTTAGGTTTGGCCAAATATATTAAGTGTTTAGGGTTAGAAAGTGACCACTTTAATCATAAATACCAGTAGTTTAATTTTTATACGCATTTCCTCTAATATATTATCTGTATATTTTAGTGTATTTCGTTTAATTGGTATAGTATATGTATATTTTGATGTATTTTGTTTAATTAGTATAGTATATGTATATGTGCTTTATGGAAAATGATGAAGCATGCATCTTGGGAATGTAAGACAATTAAATTAGTGAGTGAGAATTGTTGAAAAAAATTAAATTAAAACGAAAAATCTGTCAAAGGGTACATATGGAAAACAAAAATGCACAAATATCCATTATGCCCTCGAAAGCCGTGCGAAGTTACCATTATGCCCCATATGGGACGTTTGGGCCATTCTTGGTTTGGCCAAATATATTTTTCGTAAAAAAAAAACTTTTTTTAGTTTAGCAATGCACATTTAACGGGAAGTCACAATTTGGGAGATCATAGATCAATTGAGATAATTGTGCATTTAACACAACTGGAAATAATTGAAAGTTACACTGAGTATGAGAGGAAAAATAGATGTAGATTAGAGCCCAAAATCTCAAGAAATCACAACTTCAAGGTGTCATTGGAAAAGAAATTAAAAGTAACGGGATATCTTAAACATATTAAATTTATGCCGTATGTTTGATAGTCTCTTTTCAATTCAGTCGGAAAGACTTGAGTAATTCAAGGGGCTAATTGAGTTCAAAATACTTCAATGCGTTTAAGCAAGACTTGCTTCTAAATTAATTACCAGCTGTACGTGACTCGCGTGAATATATAACGTATTGGTTCAAACCTAGATATGTGTATCTGTTCAAACTTTACGTAAAAAAACATTAAAAGGAAAATAAGAAGAAAAAAAAAGCATGAACCTAACTTTTTATTAATAGGATTAAATAAAATAACTTTTCATTTCAATAATACAGAGAATTCAATTTAGCAGCATATAAAAAATTAGCAACTCGGTTTTCACTTTGACAAGGTATTTGTGTCGACAGTGATGATTAATAATTTACACAAATATCCAGAGATAAGAAGAGCTACTTTCGCTTTCAATAAAGTTCAAAACCACTTCCCCCTCATGCTTCCACTTTAGTTTAGACTTTAGACAATAATAGAAGTATTTCTTTTCATCTTTGATCGATATAAAGTTTTAAAATATTATTTGAGATTAAAGTATAATAGTTTATAGTAACTTAATAAAAAAATATCATATTAAAGAAAAGGTATCGAATATTTTAGCCTGTAAGAAAGAGGATGTGGAATAAATTGGGAATGATAAAGTAATATTAGTACGAAATTTAGTTATCGCTGCAGAGACAAAAGCCACCAGGTTCCAAAATCCATCCGCCCCAAATTTGGGTTGTTGGGGTCAAAACAATCAGGCTATATGGTTGCTTCCTTGACGAACTCACCAATACCATTTCCATATTCCCACCTTTTTTAAACAGAAAGCAAAAGCCTGAAGCAGCAGAGAAAAAAATGGATGGAAGACCAATACCCTGCAGTATTTTGAAGAACAAGGGAATGGGTATTCAACTAAGCTTTCAGCTTCTGGTAGCTATTATCATGGCAGTTTTAGTCATTACCACTTTCTCCATGTCCAGAGGAATTACTGAAACTCTAAAGTTAGTTGAGAAGCAGCCTCAGAAAAGGTCATTATCTAGCTGCAATTTCTATTCTGGCAAATGGGTGTTTGATAATCAATCTCGCCCTCTTTATAATGGGACGAATTGTTCGTTCATGGATGATGGAATGGCTTGTCAAAAGTATGGGAGGAAGAATCTTCACTATCTCTACTGGAAATGGCAACCCAATGATTGTGATCTTCCTAGGTAACTAGTTTCTCTTCCTTTCTGTTTTTCTTCTATTTTTGCCCTCCTTTGGGGTTATTGGGTGTTTATTGTTTTTTATTGTATTTTTTGTTTTGCAAAGATTTAATGCCACGGCGATGTTGGAGAAGTTGAGGAACAAAAGGGTTGTATATGTAGGAGATTCACTCAATAGGAATCAGTGGGTTTCAATGGTCTGCATATTAGAGTCACAAATCCCTAATCATCTCAAATATGTTCATTATAATGGCTCTTTGGTCACCTTTAAAGCTATTGTAAGTTTCAACAATCTATTCTTCAAAACCCCATTTTGCTCTTTCCTTTTGAAATTTGATTGCAGTTGAGTTTTATTAGCTTTTGTTTTTGAACATTGGTGAAGGGATACAATGCTACTATTGATTTCTACTGGGCACCATTGTTAGTTGAATCAAACTGTGACAATCCATCGTATCATCGTGTGGAAGAGCGCATAGTGAGAGTCAATATAGAGAAGCATGCCAGAATTTGGAAAGATGCTGATGTGCTTGTCTTTAATTCCTATTTGTGGTGGAGATTGAATTTGAAGGTTCTGTGAGTACATCTTTGCAACCTTTGGCCATTAATATGAAACTATATTCCTTAATATCAGTATTTTAGGCATAAGGTGCTTCTTAATTTATGATAGAGATTTTGTAATTTCAGGTGGGGATCTTTTGAAAGTGCAGATGCGAAGTATGAACATTTGGGAATGCTGCGTACATACGAGCTGGGGCTGCAGACATGGGCAGATTGGTTGGATACTCATGTTAATCGCACCAAGACTAGAGTTTTCTTTGTTAGCTTGGCACCAACTCACAACAGGTATATAATGTTGCTTCATCCGGTCCCAAATATTAGTCGATTAGCAAACTGAATTTGTTTCAAAACATTAACAAGAAGTTATGATGCTAGTACTTTTTTCTGAAATTTACTCTTGCTATTCAAATTAGTGCATTGATAAATAAGTGTTACATATGGAGATAAATGGTAGTTTCGACAAATACTCTTACAACTAAACCTATTGACTATCTTTCTTAAGGGGTGTGCTAAAATCTTTAGTCCATAAGCAGCATAATTGACTCATCGTTTTTACAAATGCGTTGGCCATTTCTAAAGAACCATTCCAACTTTAGCACCCCCAACAACCCTTTCAGATAAACTTTATTAATTGCATCTTTGAATGCACCAATTTTTAACTTAGAAAATGAAAACAGACTGTCCTATTCATGCAGTTTTCTATTTCTTTTTAAAACTGAAACCGAGGGTGGTGGAATGCAAAGTCCAAGAATATAAGAATAAATAAGTTGGAGTGATGTCAAGCTCCATTTAGGAACAAGTCTTCTGTGATATGAGATCATGTCATGGATCATCTTTTATTCTTGACTTTGGGCTTGTATACAGCTAGTTGGATTTTATATTTCAAAATATTTTAGGGGTTTACGCAAACTGACTAGTAGTAGTACTTGTCAAACTTAAAATGGCAGGGCGGAAGATTGGGGGAAGGCAAATGGTCAGAATTGCTACAATGAAACAGAGCCAATTTCTAATGCAGAGTATTGGGGATCAGAATCAGATCCTGAAATGATGAGTTTAGTGGAAGTAGCCATCAAGAAATTGAAAGAGAAGAGTGGTCTCAAAGTAGATTTGTTGAACATTACTCAACTTTCTGAATATAGAAAGGAAGCCCATTCATCCATTTATAGAAAGCACTGGGATCCTCTGACAAAAGAACAATTGGCAAATTCAAGTAGTTATGCAGATTGTATACATTGGTGCCTTCCTGGAGTTCCTGATATTTGGAATCACTTTTTATATGTATACCTTCTTTACTTGTGACCCATACAGAACAAGACTAATTGTTACAACAATAGTAAAAATGTAGAATTAGTTTATTCTTGAAAGGACCGAATGACTATCTCATTTAGGGCTGGGCATATATCGGGTAAAACCGATAACCCGAACCGTTAATTGTTTATTGGGTTATCGGTATCGGGTTATTGGGTTAACGGTTCAGTAACGGTTTAGAATTTTTCCACTATTGGGTTATCGGTTCGGGCCTCGGTTTGCCAATTTTGTTAATGGGTTAACCGATAACCCAATAAGAATTAATAAAATTATGACTTTACCCTTAAGTATATACATATGCTAGGGCTTGAGTTCATTCTTTCATATTCTTAGATTCTAAGCCGCACTCTTCAGTTGCTTCATCTTCATTCTTCATAGGCCTTACTAGTTACTCCTAGCGTAAGTCTTTAATCTTATACATTAGGCTTTTAATTTCTATAACAAAATTCATCTTCATATTGGTATTTTTGACTGTTAACGATTCTTTATTTTTTTTATTTTTGTTTAATTTTGTGAGCTCACGTTGTGCAGCCTATACCTACTACCAAATTCTCTTCGCACTTATCAATTCTCAGTCGACAATCTTTGTCAGTTTCGGGTATATTTTTTAACATTATTCTTCTGTACAATACGCTGAGCTTTCTCAGTAGGACAACATTTTCTTGCCTTCTAGGTGTTTTTCATTTTCTGTGTTAGTATTGCCTATGCACAGATCAAGGTTTTGCTCTTTCTTTTTTCAGGTTAGGAATTTGACAAACAACATCCAGTTTATCTTGGACTGTTAGTACTGTATGTTTGGACTTGTTAATTTTAAGGTGAAATTGATACTACTTTGTATTATTATTAATGTATTTGGACAACTGTTGTTGAAGAATTAGTATTATTCCAGTTGTTGCCACTGGACAAAATGCAGAAATGGGTAGTATACTATATGTGAATTCTTCTCTTTTTTGCTTAACTCGAGCGAATTGTCTTCTCTTTTTTGCTTAACTCTAGATTGAGTTATCTTATCGGGTAAACTGATAACCAATCCGATAATGATCGATAACCGATTAACCGATAACCGATAACCAATATCTTATCGGTTCGGTTATCGGTTTATCAAATTTGTAAACCGATAACCGATATGCTAAACCGATAATATTTATAACCGAACCAACCGACCGATACCCACCCCTAATCTCATTCCTCTGCTAAAATGATAAACCATGCTGTTGAAGGGAAAAAACCTATACATGTTTATACCAAATCAATGAATGCAAGATGTATTTGCTTTTTTGCTCACTTTAATTTGTGGCTTTTATTGCTAAATGGATCAGTTTGGTATATATATCGAGCGGGAGTAAGTTTTTTATTGTTGTTTTAAGCACTCACGACTCAACAATGGATAGAGAGTACACATTCCACATTTCATTTGAAACACTTACTGGGAAACAATCCATCAATTGTCAAAGGGGATTTATGAATTATCTAATATAATATTTAAATCAGCTTATGGATGGATTAGTTTGTAATCCATGTTCGGCATTGTATGTTTGTCCAACATAGAATACACATCGAATGTTTTAGATTCGTTTTAAACAACAGAATGGAATCTGCAGATTAATATATAGATGAGAAAATATAATTAGTCTTCCCTTTCTGGGTCTCTTATAGTGCACATTATATGAATTGTATTTATGAATTGAATTATTCACAATCCATATGTCAATCCGAAGAATGACAGTATGACACTATTGTTATTTGGGGAGTTAAATAAAAAAAAATTCCTTAAGTACAGAATTTTCGGACATTTTAAAAGTTTTCAACTATAAAAGTTGTGATTTGTAGTATATATCATTAAATTCTTAAATCTGTAACTTTTACTTTAAAAGAGTTCAGAAATCAAAGTAAGAATCCATACAAAAAATAACTAGATGTGAAATTGCTAAAGCAAAAGATTGTTTTAGTAAAGTACGATCGTTGAGATGAATTAAAGACTTAAAGTAAAGTGATCTAACTCTCAAAATGTTTTATAATAACACAGACACAATGCTTATTAATACAATAAAATGTCAAAATATACACTTCCATGTTGATTAGTCCAAGACAAAAAATTAAATCGACACGACGTAGCTAGCGTAAACATGAAGATTATCTTGTACTTGTCCATCAGATGTGATGGAAAATCTGGGACGCCATGTCTGGTCATTGTTCGATCTAATAGGACTCAAAATGCAGACACGTTAGCATTTTCTTATCATACCAAAGACCATTATTAAGCAGCAGTCTTTTGTCAAGAATATCTACTAGCAAGAATTCTACCCAAGACTCAGTCTTAGGTGTTTTCCTTCCAACTTTGTCCATAAACAAATTTGATTATTATAATATTTACATGTAATGTGACCCATTGGGTAAGCAAATGCCATACTCAAAGATAAGTGGAAGTGTTGGAATTAAGCAGCCATATTGGTATTTAATTACTAATTCCCTGTAGAACTCAGTTTGAAAAGTCTGCACACCCCTTAACTCTGCTCCCTATAAATAGCAACCTTATCATCACTCCCAAAACACACAACTTTCATACATATCGCACTGAATTTTGTAGTATAATTAAGAAGAATGAAATTTTGGGGAGTGGTTTTGTTTTGTGTCTTGTCTGTAACAGGAACATTGGCACAAGATGTTGGTGCTCTTGTTAGTAAAGACATGTTTGAGAGACTGCTACTGCACCGCAACGATGCCAATTCATGTGCTAAAGGATTCTATACTTACGATGCATTCATAGCTACTGCCAGGTCCTTTGGAGCTTTTGGAACTACTGGAGACACCAACACTCGTAAGAAGGAAATTGCTGCATTTTTGGCTCAAACTTCTCATGAAACTACTGGTATATTTTCTTCATATGCATTAGTATGACAACCTTTAGTTATAAATTAATCTTACACAAGATATATACTAATGTTATGTTGATAAATAGGGGGGTGGGCAACAGCTCCTGATGGTCCATATTCATGGGGATACTGCTTCAAGCAGGAACAAGGCAACCCTCCAGATTACTGTGTCGCAAATCAACAATGGCCTTGTGCTCCTGGTAAAAAGTACTTCGGTCGAGGTCCCATGCAAATATCCTAGTAAGTAATCTAGTTTTAACTTGTCGAATTAGCAGGTTACCTGCCTTATTTTTTAAGTTATTGAATTATTACTTTACTCGCAGTTATCTTTCAGGTGATCTGATAGTGTGAAAAATCATTTATACTGTAGGGTGTAGGGCCTGTAGGCTAACTCAATGAGAACTTAACACTATCAATCTATATTTTACTTAACCATTTGCAGCAGGTTACCAACCTTATTTTTCAGGTTGCTAATCTCACTTATTATGGGCATGGTTAGTTGTAGTTATCTTTTATATATGTGACAAACATCTTTGAAAATTTCAGTTATGGAATCCTAATAACTCAATTATAAATATTATGACATGTAGTAACTACAACTATGGACCAGCGCGCTGGAAAAGCCATAGGAGTGGATTTGTTAAAGAATCCAGATGCAGTTGCAAATAACGCAGTGGTTTCATTCAAGACAGCGTTGTGGTTCTGGATGACAGCGCAGCAACCAAAGCCATCGGCCCACGACGTCATTACTGGTAAATGGAGACCATCAGGAGCTGATTCATCTGCTGGTCGTGTCCCTGGCTATGGTTTAATCACCAACATCATCAATGGCGGAATTGAATGTGGAAAAGGTTCTAATCAAAATATGGAAAACAGAATTGGGTTCTACAGGAGATACTGTCAGATTCTTGGAGTCGACGCTGGCAACAATTTGGACTGTGCTAAACAAAGGCCTTTTGGGCAGTAGATACCTTAAAGTCTGCTAATAAGTTATAGAATTATATATATAGTTCTCTTTCTAGAAATAAGTTGCTACCGTCTATCTATGTACTACTATCTTGTGTGGCATCATGAGTTATAAATATAAATAACAAAGTTTGGCCCATCCAAACTAAGATCGATCTATTGCATGTAAACATAAAAAAGAGTACGTGGTGAATAATATATATATTCTCCAGTATATTTTTTGGAGAATGCAATGTTTCGCGGATCCTAATGATTACCATGAAAGTTTATGGCGATTGTCATGTTTTGTGGCAAATCTAGTGACCACCATATGAAGAGTTATGGCAATTTACCATGTGTTTATAGCAAATCTTGATGATTAGTATATAATTTTTTTTGTCTAGAAGCGGTTTCCAAAATTCTAGTAGAGGTTCTTTTCCCAATATTTTCTTATCAAGGTGAAAAAAAAAAAAAATAGTGGCATCAAAGTATGTTATTTGCGCAAATCTCCCATGTCCAGGAAGCCCTTTTGCAGGCTTCTTAGTCGAAATGGGCTGTTTGCAGTCCAAAGGGCCTTTTCTAATCTCTGGGCTAAGGTCTTTTGTCTCCTAAGAAAGACACCCAAATCTGTACTGCGTAGTTCTCTCCCTTGGCATACATACTGTAACTGTACCGACCGAAGCTCAAAATGCTAAACCCTTGCAGAACCCTAATCTAATCCTTTTACCAGAAGGACAAAAACTGAAAGAATCTGAACAACAAGCTCACAGAAGATGGGGAAACTACCACCTTCCTTAAGGTCAGCTAACTTTGCTGTAAACACTCTCATTAAAACTCCATCTTCTTCTGTTCCTCACTCAAAAATCCCATCTCCATCCCCTCCGTCTACTTCAAAACCCCATTATTTTCCCAAAAAATCACTATCACCCAAGAGAAAACCCACATCAAATAATCAACAACCCCAGCTTCCATCTATTGTAGCCTTTGATTCAACTACTCTTTCTGATGCTAAAACCCTTTTCAATTCCCTCATTTCCAATCCCAAAAATGTACCTTCAGACCCTAAATTTTATAATTCAATCCTCCAGTCATTTTCCTCCAATTCTACCCTCCAAGATTCAATCTTTTTCCTTAATCACATGATCAAGACTCACCCACCCTTTTCTCCAGACAGATTTACATATCATGTTCTCCTCATTCAATCTTGCAAGTCAGTTGACCATTCTCTGTCCCCTGTTCATCAGGTTCTCAATCTCATGACTTCCAATGGTTTCCCTCCAAATAAGGTCTCCACAGACATTGCTGTGAGGACCCTTTGCTCTTCGAACCACGAAGAGCAAGCCATTGAGCTGGTCAAAGAACTTTCCTCCAAAGACTCTCCACCTGATACCTATACTTACAATTTTATTGTCAGGCACCTATGCAAGAACAGGTCTTTGAGTAATATGAATAGTTTTATTAAAGAAATGAGGGATGGTTTTGATATAAAGCCTGATCTTGTTACTTATACAATTATGATTGATAATGTTTGTAACAGTAAGAATCTCAGGGAGGCGACTAGATTGTTGGGGGTGTTGAGCGAGGAAGGATATAAGCCTGATTGCTATGTTTATAATACAATTATGAAGGGTTATTGTATGTTAAGTCAAGGGGGTGAAGTGTTAAGTGTATACAAGAAAATGCAGGAGGAAGGAGTGAAGCCTGACCTTGTGACTTATAATACATTGATCTATGGATTGTCGAAGTCAGGAAGGGTGAAAGATGCTAAGAAGTTTTTGAGTGTTATGATGGAGGAGGGCCATATTCCGGATGCAGTAACGTATACTTCGTTAATGAATGGGATGTGTAGGGAAGGAGATCCATTAGGAGCGTTGGCTTTGTTGGAGAGAATGGAAGCACGGGGCTGTGCTCCTAATTCATGTACATATAATACATTGCTTCATGGGTTATGTAAGGCAAGGTTGTTGGATAAGGGGATGGAACTGTATGATGTTATGAAGAAGAATGGTATGAAGCTTGAGACGGGGTCATATGGGACGTTTCTCAGAGCGCTCTGTAGGAATGGCAGAGTAGCAGAAGCTTATGAAGTTTTTGATTATGCAGTAGAGAGCAAGAGTTTGACAGATGTTGCTGCTTATACTACGTTGGAGAGCACGTTGAAGTGGCTTAAGAAAGCTAGAGAACAGGGTCTTGTCATTTGACCTCCATTGCTGGTATTCTGATTCATATGAAGTGTTTTGCTTATTCACGGGCATGTTTGTTCTTTCTTAGAGAATTTACGTGTTGTCATTTGATCCCTTTTATGTACTATTTTCATGCTAAGAAATACACTGGAGAGCATTTGAATTAATTGTACATATGGCACCAATAAAAAAATTAATTTTTCATATGGCAGGAGTTATGTGTTGGAATTAGTTGTACATATAACTAGGAGTTATCAAGCTGGGAGAGTGATGGAACATTAACTATTTTCCAAATTATTTTGGAAAATTAACACTAAGTTTCTCTTTGTATCCAGAGTACACCCTGCTGAGCTGAAACCCTTATTTTCATCGGATTAGAAATGTATAAGGTCATCTTAGTGTCTAGAATTGTTTAGCGCTTTATCATTGGAGCTATGAGAGATGAAAAGACAAACTTCAATATGATATTTCTTCTGTTTGTTGGGAAAGAAAAAGATTTATTTCCATTTATGAACACATAGTTGTGTACTCGAGACTGTTATATTCCTAGGGATCCGTCTCTTGTCATATGTTATTAATAGTTTGGGTCCTGAAATTTCTCAAACATGAAGTAAACAACTTTTTGGCCTTTCTTTAACATGTTCCTATCTTTTGCCTCTTCATAATTTTCATATTGATCTTCATCAGAAAAAAATTAATGATAATAATAATTTTCATTTTTACCTGAATGGTGCTAAATGAGTATAGCCCCTTCCTTTATCTTTCTTGAGCCGAGGGTCTACCGGAAACAACCTCTCTGCCTTCTTAAACATAGGGGTAAGGTCCGCGTACACACTACCCTCCCCAAACCCCACTTGTGGGGCTACACTGGGTATGTTGTTGTTGTTATTGGTGGTGCTAAATGAGTATATATTCCACTGAAGAATAGTTCACAGTGGCATGTATCTGAACTTAGATTCTGTAACCAACAAAAGTTTATTCTTTTGAAGCACTTTGCTGTATACTGACCCTTTATTTCCTGGCAGTCGTCCTGCTCTGTTAACCATTTGAATTATGTGAACAGTGGCTCTCTGCATAAATTAGCTTGGCCTGACATGAATGGAGAAAGTCTGATTGAATGAACGCGTGAGAAAGTCTGATTGAATGAACGCGTTGCCTACTGGTAAGGCTTAGACCATGTCTTCTCAACATTCTGTTCTGCCAATGTTTGGAAGCGTTTCATAACTTTTACCAGCTTACACATTGTCTAGTTGTACGCTTGTTTTGAAATCTTTGAACTGAATATGGGCATATACTCTAGGCATCCAGAGATGTACTTATAAATTGAAGCTGACTTGAGCCTTGGGGTTTGCTCCCTTTCAAGGTCTCAAGTTCGAAACCCATTGGGTGCAAACAATTTCTGAGGGCCATCGGACTGGGTAAAACCTGAATTAACCGTGGTGCACTTGCGGGAAACTCCTTGCCGAGAGCCTGTGCACCCCCGGGATTAGTCGGGGCTCTTAGAGACTCGGACACCCGGTGCAAATCAAAAAAAAAAATTTGAAGCTGACTTGAAAGTTTATTAAACTTTCTCATTGTGGACTTGGTAATTGCACCAAAAACTGAGTACCATGACCAGTCCTCTAATTATAAGAACCACCTTGTTCATGTGTGATCAAAGATTTAAGCAAAACATTAACCCGAGAAGGATCCTGAGTTAAACCATCTTCAGTTTTTGTATGCTCCATTGGCTTCTGAAATGTAGTAGGGGAATCAATTTTAGTTCTGTAAATTGTCCTAAGTATGGCAGTGTATATAGTAAAATTGTGTCATGTAAAGTAGTTGGGTGAGATAAGATTTCAGCATTATATGTCGCGTATAACATATTAGCTAGCAAATTTCTGATAAATTGACCTGAGCAGATAAAATTTGTTATACGAAGATTGAGAATTATGTGATTGTTATTCAGCCGTTACTAACGGAAAATAAACAAATTAGTCTGAACTAAAATGGAAATTTTACCTTCTATATCAAACTATTACACCCTATTTATTATAAATCAAAACAAATTTCAAACTATTGTTGCTTATTGCTACCTTTTATATTTTATAGCAAAATACATATTTATTATATATGCTACCGTTAAGGCGTGAAATATGCCAGTTACGTTTCTCTCTCTTACTCCTTCATTTAGCACACGATTTCTCTCTATATATAAGCAAGATTCTCAATCCTCTCTCTTCTCCCTCAAAGCTCTCTCCCTTTTCCATCAAAGCATCCGTCGTAATAGCCATTCTTGGTGGCCATGGTGGACTAATGCAGTGTATCAAATCTTCCATTGTGCCATGGATAGATCTGAAGCAAAGAGAATAGATCTGAAGCGAAAAGGGGGTAGGCGAATAGATCTGGCCATGACTACAGATTGAGCTTTTGAAATCTGAAGCATAAACGCCGGAGAATATTTGAGAGCCGGGTTTTTGTTCATCTCCATTTTTATTTAATACAATGTATACATTATTTTGCTTGGCCGGAAAACGCCATCTTCGGCGAACTTTCTTCTCTTGTTTGCTATTAAGTCACATACAATGATATAAATACGTTATATTTTGTACAAATGCACTCACATACATTGTATTTTTGTATAAATACATTATATTTTTCGCATGTATTTATGTATTCCGAAGGTTTGTATTTTTTTGAATACCGCGGAATATCACTGTTTTTGTGATCTTTTGTTGTTTGAATACAGTCGAATTGAATATGGTGAATTGAATACAATGTATGCAGTCGAATTGAATAAAACGGTATATACCCTATTTCTTGATTTTGTTGTTTGAATATAATTGAATTCAATATAGTGAACTTGAATACAATTCAATATTGCGTTTTTCATTATTAAACACCCGTAGTCACTATTTTTTAAGCACATTACCTCACTGTATTTATAAATACATTCGCGAGAATATATGGAATATAGAATTAAACAGTTTGTAATCCCTGTTTTTTAGGCGGATTACCTCACTGTATTTATAAATACAGTCGCGCGAATACATGGAATACAATACAATAATTGATTTTGTCGGTTTAAATTAGGAGTGACATACGCTAATTGATCCTCTTTCCGTTATTAAACAATTGGAGTCCCTACTTTAGGTGAATTTCAGGACTGTATTCATGAATACAATAGCGCGAATATAGCGAATACAGTCATGTAGCAACAAAATATAAGCTGTAGGAAGTAAGTAAATATGTATATGGTGGCTATTGAAAGTTAATAACCACTAAAAAATATAGTGGTTTCTGAAAATTCCTCAACTAATACTGCATCATTTTATACTTAGAGATTCCAATATTGGATTGGACCAAATCTAATTTTGACATTAAATTCCTAAATGGGATCTTTACACAAATAACCGGTCATATTCATTGCTTACTTTTTATAGCCATACACATAGATTACATAATGATTATACACAATTATACATATATAATGCACAAATTATGCATATATTATACCTCCACAGACTATTTTTAGTTTAAGCGGTTGGTAAACAACTATTTGGATTAATTGTTCTTCCTAAGTAGAGTCCAAGGCCCATTGGTTGGACCAAGCGGATGATTGGGCAGTAAGTCTACAAATGACCTTCGGGCAGGTCACTTTGCCCATTGGCGGCGATACTTTAAGTTTAACAAAGGTTAAGTTTTTTAACTTTTGACCTTGAAAATTTATCATTGGTGGTCAGGCCAAAAGTTAGAGACTATCCTTATGGTAGTTATGTTACCATTTTTTGCATTATGTGACAAAAATCGACCCACACTTGATTAAGGCTACATCATCCTTAATATTGCTCCATTTCATGAAATTCCGATTTCCACTTTAGTGGGAATTCTTGTGATTCTCAGTCACATGTTAATGTCTTCTGCATTCATGGAATTTGCGACAAGAAATCTGCTTGATTGTCTCTTTGGTTCCTTTGCAGAGCACTGTAAAAATTCAAAATTGCAGTATGTACATACATGGATAAGGTTCTATGCTCTGTATTTTCTGACACTGAAATCACATGTTCTATTAATATCCTAGGTTTCAGTGTACCTCTGTGCCAATGGGGTGTCTTAGTCCCTCATCTTATTTCTTACTATAAGCAATTTTAAGAACAGTTCAGCAAATTCAAGTATTTAACTAAAGACATTACTCTCAGCTCGAATCACCGATATGCATGCAAAAGAAATATAAAAATATAAATATATATTACTATCTGATGTTGTTTCTGTTTCGGTTTTGTTACTATCTCACTGTTGTTACTGCTTTTTCCATGATTTTTTATTACTATATTTCTTTTGCTTTATTGTTGCGAGTTTGCTGGCCTAAGTCGGGGGTCTATCGAAAACAGCCTTTCCATTTGCTAATTGGAGTTGTTGTTGTTGTTGTTTAATATTGGATCTCGTTCATTATAATTCACTAACTCTAAATTTAGATGTAACACAAATTTGATGTACCTCTACTGAGGCAAAGAGAGCTTCGCAAATTAATGGCAAATTAATTGACTCACAGAAGCATGAATTAAAAAACAAATATTTAATCTTTCTCTGTTGCATTTGTTACCCAACAAGTCGCCGCCCTCCTCCATACCAAATCATATTTATTCATGTGCTCCATAATCTTTTTAAACCGAGCTCACTTTTCAAGATACGATAATTACGTAAATACAACCTAAAGTTATTCTTTGTCTACCCAAAACACAACCTATTACCCATTCAAAACATATAGAGTAATCTCTGTAATCAAAATGTTTTCCAGCTAAATGATTCCTGTGTTATGTTGAGTAAGAGGCAAATTCGAAAAAAAGAAGATAAAGAACACCAAATTTTAACGTGGAAAACCCTTAAAATCGAAGGTAAAAACCACGGGATTACAAAGATCCAAAAGCTCCACTATAACAATAAGAGGGTTACAAAAGTTCTCCAAATTGGCTACACAACAAGGGGCAAACACGGAGCAACAATAGCAACAAGAGCAACAACTAATCAATTGAAGAAAGAGTATAATCCACAAAACGAAGCTACTGTTCGAGGCTCGAAATCAGATGCTACGAGCCTCCAAATCCGATCTTCACCGTTCAAATCCAAGACCAAGATGTTACGAACTCTCAGTCAAAATTTCAGCCCGATCCAACGGTTAACGAATCATAAAACGTGATTTGAAGTTGGCTGGTCGGAATAAAAATCTGCAGCAAAACAAATACTTTTCTTCTCTCTTCTCTCTTCTCTCTTGATGAGAGCTCTCTCTAAACCACTCTTATGTGCTTAAGTCTTTCAAAGACTTGTATCAATGAGCATAGAATAATTCTCTAAGGTTGTCCTATTTATAGATCATGAGTGGTGCTTTCTCTTAAAGCCAAAACCCACTCAAAATAGGAATAAACCGAATCCAATTTCAAATAGGAATGGAAACCAAAAGAGAATAGGATTAGGCCATTGGGCCTTTGGCCGGACAACATGGGCATGTGCCCAACATCTTGTTCACCTAAAACCCTATGTCTACCTCTTTCTCAATTCAACCCTAGGCTGTTAACCAATCCAAATTTTTTAGAAATTAAGAAACGAAACCGGGTTCAGTGCATTTTTCCCGATTCTTTATGGATTAATAATGTCTAGAAACATCAACATTTCCCTATGTATGTTAAAAAAGGCTTATTTCAAAGATACGATTAAAATCCAAAAAAGGGAATCTTGCAGAAAATTGTTGTGAGGAAACAAGGCATATACAGCTCTAACGCACTCTCTGTAGTCAATGATTGAATTCAGAATTCATCCAATTTAGTAATAAATGCGAAAACGTTGCTAATTCTGAGGCCATAAGATGCAGGATATAAAATTGTAAAATAATTGCATATTGTTGGTAAATGATGTAACAAGATTACAAAAAAAATATTTGATTGCCTACGTTGTTGTCACATGCAAATTAATTCTACGAAAAGGTCATGTCCCTATAAGTACATTCTTGAATCATTGTTACATCCAAGCATCACCTCAGAAATCAAGTGAACCTTTCTTCAAAAACCAATCAAACCATGGCTAAATCTAAAAATATACCTTGTCCTGTTAGGTCCATTAGCTTGCCTTCCAGGTTAAATCCTAATGGACTAAAAATTGAAGCTGAATTAGACAAGCTGAAAAACCTCGAAACGTCGTCGCATAGGGCAGAGACAATTCAGGCTGGAGTTCTTGGCCTTGTAGAATTATACAATTGTGTGCAGGAACTAATTCAGTGTCCAAACACACAAAAAGCTCTTGTCCAACATCAAAATGGAGCATTTGTTGAAGAAGCCCTAGAGGGATCTCTTGAGTTACTTGAGTCATGTGACACTATTAGAAACTTATTTCGTATGAATAAGGAACAAGTCCAACATCTTCAGTCAGCTTTACGACGAAAAGGTGCAGATTCGAGCATTGAGAAGGATATTAGCAATTATTTTATCTTCAGGAAGAACATGAAGAAGGAGATAGTAAAGAACTTAAGGAGACTGAAGCAAATGGAAAACAGAGTTGGATCTTCTGTTTTCTGGGACATTGAACAACACTTATCGATGGTGATTCGAGTGCTAAGAGAAGTAACAGCTGTTACTACATCTTTGTTTAAGGCCATGTTGGTATTTTTGTCATACCAAGATACAAAAATAAAGCCTAAAGGATGGTCAATTATTTCAAAGTTGATGATCACTAAATCAGCTTCTTCTCAAGGTGGCCAAATTTTCAGTGGCATGGGGAGTATTGATGTAGCTCTTGCCTCACTTCGCGAACAGATTAGGAACAATGAAACCAAAGTTGATGTCAACGTTGCGCGAAGGAGATTACAGACACTTGATTCGAGCATCGAGGGTTTTGAGGCTGGATTACAGAGCTTGTACAAGCAATTGATCCGAAGTAGAGTTTCATTTCTTAATATTTTGGCAGTTTAATTATTAAAACAAAATCTTGTATATATAGAAGGGTTTGGCTATATATAGGTCAAACACCAAAATTTTGTTAGAGTGAAGAAGTATAGTTGACACGAAGTTATAATTAAATCTTAGCTTAAACTTATGCACCATACTTGTTCATCATTGTAGTCCAACAGAATTTAATGTTTCGCAGCACTGATCTATGAATATAATGGACTTAGTGTACATGTTTTTCCAACAGATGCTATTGTGAGATCCTTCCATTTTAATTTCATCTTTGATTTTAACTTTTAGATCTGACTAGTAAGTACGTCTTTCTGAACATCATGTCTGAAATAATTCTTGAAAGACAGAAGTTACTGATGTGGATAAACAATTACGTACGCAGCCTGCTGGTTCTGCCACACCCATCCGAACTACTTTGCTAGGATCAATTATTACTATTACTCGGTAGAAGTTTATAAATGATGTTGCCAAAACTTTTCTCCAAATACTTAATCTGAAGAATTAATAAAAGCACCAAAATTAAACTTTACGTTAATAATCTAAAAACTAATTTGAACTTTAGTTTCCTTAAATTTCTTCTTGCTTGAGAATGTACATATTGGATCAAAATTTCCTTTTCGTCTGTGGCTGCCTTCCTATCCGATGGGCTTAAGGTCTCTTAGTCTTATGTTTTGATGATCTAACAAGCTTTCTATATAGAACCAGATAAAGGACCTGATGCATGCCTGGTACAATTATTCAGCAATGGACTCAAGATAATCTGGGCAGTGTGCCTTTGGATTCACAA